TACTCTACACCAATTTTAAATATGATATCATATATTTTTAATATACTCTACACCAATTTTAATTTTTTAAATATGATATCATATATTTTTTTTGTTGGACAAAAAAGGCTACTTCATTTTTTTTAATTTAAGAAATGAGAATCTACATTTATATTTTATAAGTACTTTTTTTGTATTTTTCTCATTTATCATTCTACAAATAACAACCACGCATGATATATTTTATTTTATAATTTTTTAAATATGATATCATAAATATATAAAAATACTCTACACCACTTCCGGTGCCGTGAGGATCGCAGAGAGACGCGACACCGAGAAAAGGGTAAGAAACGGAAAAGAGGGTGAACTGCTAAGTGAAATGCTGCTAGGACCGGTCCACCGATGCGGAACGAAACCCGGTGGACTGGACCAGACTAGACCGGAACTCGAATAAGGAAAAAATGAGGACCGAATAAGGACCGGTCCAGTCAAATTTTGGCCGGGTTTTGAGTCGGTTCGGGTCCGGAGTGAATAATGCACACCCCTATGTGGAATATAATATATCTTTTTTAAAGTAATCCCTCTGTCTAGAAATAGATTGTTCATGTATTTTGTACGAGTATATAGTTAAACATTATTTACATGTTTTCACTACTTATTTCAAATATATACGAGTATATAAAATAGGTTAAATAGTCATGTAAGTCAATCTTATTTAAAAAAAGATTCATATAGTTTTTGAATATCTAAATGTTATTACTCACGTTTTCTTTTATAATTACTATATTAAAATAAAAATAACTTTAGTCGAATTCGTAAAAATAATTTAAGTCAAACAAGAAGTGACGTGACTATAGTATTTTATTAAATGACCAATTATATTAAAATAGATAAAGAAAGTATTAAAATTTGATGGTGTAAATTAAAATTGAGAAAAAAAATTTAGAAGAGAGGAGTAGTAGAGAAAATGTTGTGACATTAAAATATTCAAAGGTATAGAGAACAAATGAGACCAAGATATAAAAAATACCGGAGTAGAAAAAAAGATATGAGTAGAGATGAAGTAACAGAGAGAGAGGAAGAAATGTAGGAAGAAAATATTGGGACCCATTAAAAATGAGGTGGCGGCCACATGTGTTTTAAAGCTCTCAATTTACTGAATTTAGATACAAAGTGTATTCTCTCTCGTCCGCCCCCCAACTTACGTGGACGTCTATTTAAATCTCTCGCCCCCTAGCAGAGGACGTCTATTTCCATTTCTTGATTTCTACTGGTCTATTTCCTACTGGTCTATTTCTTGATTTCTGCGGCGGCGCTCAGCTTCAACTTCTTCTTCCTCGCCGCGCCAGCGTCTTCTCCAGGCCAATTCAAATCTTTGCGTGCGTTCTTGGATTATTCCTCTCTAGCTCTCAGCCGTCATCAGGAATTGAACCAACCCAGAAAAGAAAGAATGTAAGAGCCTATTAATTAATTAAACCCTTTTTTCCCTTTTCTTGATTNGGGTTTAATTAATTAATAGGCTCTTACATTCTTTCTTTTCTGGGTTGGTTCAATTCCTGATGACGGCTGAGAGCTAGAGAGGAATAATCCAAGAACGCACGCAAAGATTTGAATTGGCCTGGAGAAGACGCTGGCGCGGCGAGGAAGAAGAAGTTGAAGCTGAGCGCCGCCGCAGAAATCAAGAAATAGGCCAGTAGGAAATAGACCAGTAGAAATCAAGAAATGGAAATAGACGTCCTCTGCTAAATAGACGTCCACGTAAGTTTGGGGACGGACGAGAGAGAATACACTTTGTATCTAAATTCAGTAAATTGAGGGCTTTAAACACATGTGGCCGCCACCTCATTTTTAATGGGTCCCAACTCCGTGTTAGCTTTTGCCAAGAAGACCGCAATTAGGAAAACCTAACGTTGACTCGATCGTCAATGGCGGGCTCGCCCGATCGAGGCATAGATCTACATGATCTCCCATCTATCAATCTGTAGATATCTCTGGCTATAGGTCAATTGCAGCATATGGGTTTACGACTACTGCAATTCATTTTCGCGGCTGCAGGATGCATCGTGTTGAGCCTCATCTTCGTCTCCATCCGCGTCCTACTCTGTACAGTCTCCAGGAAGCGAAGTCGCCGGCGCCTCTCCTCCATCGCCGTCCCCGAGAGCGTCACGTTTGATCCGACGGACATCAGCCGGATCGACATGTGCGAGCTGGTCCAGGCGACCAGAGATTTCTCCCCGGATCTCGTCATCGGAGACGGCGGCTTCGGCCTCGTCTACAAGGCCGAGCTCTCCTCCGGCCTCCACGTCGCCGTCAAGAGGCTGTCCGCCGACGCCTTCCAGGGATTCCGCGAGTTCCGGGCCGAGATGGAGACCCTCGGGAAGATCCGGCACCCGAACATAGTCAAAATGATCGGGTACTGCTCCGCCGGTCCGGATCGGGTCCTGATCTACGAGCTGGCGATGAACGGCAGCCTGGACCAGTGGCTCCACCCCACGGCGGCCGAATCGGAGCCTCTGACCTGGGAGACGAGGGCTAAAATCGTGAAAGGAGTGGCCAGAGGGCTGGCCTACATGCACGGCCTCGAGACTCCGATCATCCACCGGGACATCAAAGCCAGCAATGTCCTGCTGGACGAAGACTTCGAATCCAAAATCGCGGATTTCGGACTGGCGAGGCGAATGGAAGGTTCCAGAATGCACGTGTCCACGCAGGTGGCGGGAACGATGGGGTACATGCCGCCGGAGTACATCCACGGCGCGGCAATGGCGACGAAGATGGGGGACGTGTACAGCTTTGGGGTGTTGATGCTGGAAACCGTCACCGGAAGACGGCCGAACTTCCCCTTCGCAGGGGAAGACGGGCGGGAGACGAGGTTGGTGGAATGGGCCGAGGCCATGATCGCGCAGAACCGGCACCGTGACATTATTGATCCAAGCTTGTCTTCATCTGTATATAATAATCCGAACGAAAATGAAATGAGACGCTACTTGGGGATTGCAACGATGTGTAGCAGTGAGACATGGAAGACTAGACCTACCATGAATGATGTTACTCTTATGTTGGACAACCAATGCTCATCTTGTTGAAACGGGGAAAAATTGTTGGCAAATTTGACTCTTTTTTCTTCCTTTCAAGATTCAACCACGCCATGTTTAGGATTGTATTATTATTAATTAATAATAATAATTAATATTTTATTATCATCTTACTTACTAATAATAGTAATAGTAACTAATAATAATTATTATTAAAACGCTAATAACCATAATTACTATTAACTAATAATACTCCGTAATTAATAGTGATAATAACAATTAACAAAAATATTTACTTGTAAATATAATTGTTGGGTTATGGAACCCAAGGGTAGGGAAGAAGGAGAAGAGTGTGTGAGGAAGAAGATGAATAATGTGGATTGTGCAGCTTCCTTTTTTCCCTCCCCCTCCTCTTCCAAGAAGAGGAGTATAAATAGAGGAGCTAGGGTTAGGGTTTCGGATTAATGGGCCGGCCCAATAGACTGGGCCGCCCTAAATAGCAAATATACGAATAATGGGCCGGCCTAACAGATTGGGCCGCCCTTAAATAAATAATTAACACACAACTAATAGGTCGGTCCAACAGACTGGACCGTCTCAACTAATATTATACAAAGACCGGATAGCCCCTGTTCGGGGTATCCATCAATAATAATAACAATAATTATTGTCAATAGTAATAAAATTTAAAAAGAATTATTATTTTAAATATAATTATAATTAAAAATGATAATAATCATCATTGATGATAACGCATCCTCGTAATATAAAAAATAATACGGATTAATAATTTATTATAATAAAAATCATAATTATTAAAACAAAAATGATAATAATAATAATTTTATAATTATTATTATTAATAATTACAATTATAATTATTATTAATAAAATTATTATTAAAAATATTTTTAATAATTTATCAGATCAGTTCCACTCATATCAGATCCATTCAGATCAGATCAACCGAAGAGAACGCAACCTTAGTCCTAACTCAGACTTGTGATCCATGCAAAGTTTTAGGTCATGGACTCAAGCGCTCATAACCGAGCGCGATCCATGAATATGCAAGTCTTATTGTCAAACAATTAGTATCGCTGAGCTCTTAGCGAGAACACAGTACGTTCAAAATTTAAAACATACGTCCAATAATTGTCACTAAAATGTAATGCATAGCAGAGGTAGTGAATCCTCGAACAACTTGGATCTATGTCAGAAAAAAGATGAAACTAGGAGTATAACATAAAACAAGTGCAAAGAAACTAATTCTATATTTTTATCTCAAAAAATAAAAGTTACAATAGAAACAATGTCAACATATAATACCAAGAAACAATATAAAATACCAATATATAATGCAAATTTCTTACAAGGTAATAGTCCCTATTTTCAAGTTAAAAACACAACACTCTTGTATTTTTTCTGTGTGTCTTACTACTAATAGTGTAGATTTCTTTTTGCGAAATTTTATTACTATTTCTGTACAATAGATATATCTAGTTTTGAATTTTTGACATCAAAAACTTGATAAACTTTGGTCATTAATTAAATAAACTTTATTTTAAATACTGATACATGAACACTTGTATTAGATCTATTTTTTAAAATATTTTCAAATTATTATTTATCTAGTTACTATACCGTATAATTTTATTTATCTTTATGTAGGTGCTTCTCTATGCTTATTAGTTGGTCAAAAATTACTTTTAAGCTATTTTAAACTTATAAATCAACTGATGGCATACTTTTTTGTACTTATAAGCTGACATATGAACTGGTTATAAGTCAGAAAAAATAAGTACCTATTACCTACTTATTTTTATACACTTGCTATAAACTTGCTATTCGTATTTTTTTCTAAGTGAATAAAATAATTTTAAATAATTAAAAAATAAAAATTTAAGTACACAAATGAAAAGTTTATATCGAAGTTGTTTGTAACTCAATACTCACTAGAATAAAGTGAGATTGTTTCCAAATCGCCTACAGTTTTCCAGTTTTCATAATAAATCCATCCAAGGTGACCAAATTTTCAATTTTTATCCCGGCGGTCGACGCGTCGCTGCGGTAGTGACCTGGCATAGAAAACACGCATTAGGTACACGTGGGACAAAATGATTCGATAAGACAAATAAGTCAGGGGAATCAGCGCTGTCTAATTACTCCGTACGTTTCTTCTCACGGCGTCGCAACCTTCACTTCTGCTGGCGATCCGCCGAGGCACCAAATCCCTCCTCCTTTCAAGTAGTCCTCATCACCGCCGCCCGCCCCTTCGCCGCAGACGAATACTACTACTGGATTGACATCTCATTTTCATATCTGTGCGGTCTCCAAAGTTTTTTGCCGATCGGATTGCTGAGTGAGGATTTCGCTACAATTTCACCTGGTTGATTCTTCATCTCCTTCGGATCTCTGCGTTAAATGTTGAAAATTTCATCTCAGCTGCACCATTTGGTGGAAATAAAGCGTAATTCGTCTTAAGGTTCCATCAGCGTATGATCTAGGTTTCACTCTTCATCAGCAACAAGGCAAGATCAAAATTCAGCGATCAGGATCGGGGGGTGACTTGCCCCTGGGCGGCGAGTTCAACCCTTTTCCAGTGGCTCAAAGGATAAATTCCTTCCAAACTGTTTGAATGGATGATGATATTGAAGGGTTAGGCCCTTACCAAGAAAGGCCTAGAACATTTCCAAACATGCGCACCAAATCTCAAGCACCATGGGTTAGTCTGTTGTTCCTACCACATACCATTTCCCGGTTCCGACTGTATTATCATCTTGTTTTGTACTCTCCCCTACTCTATTTTGAAGTCTCATTGCTTTCATCAAGAAAGAGATAACCTTTAATACGTATTATGTACTTGGCATAGGAGAGGCCATTTGCTTTTTCATTGTTATAGTTAATGATTAGATAAAATATTTTACTCAGAACCAACATATTGAGCAATCCTTGGTGATTCTATCCTTTATAAGTTGATATAACTGCCTGTTAAATATGTTCCTTTGTAGGATCCATGTCTTTTCTTCATTATGATATGTTTTCAGGAAGCCAAAGATCAAGGATGGATTTTGTTTGCTAGTGGTTTTGAGCCTTGGACCACAATAACCCTGGGATATTCTTTATAGAAATTCAAAATTCATTTCATGATTTTCATCTTTTCTAATTTATACACCCCCATTTTGAAAGGGACCTGCTTGCCATAAGTTACATTTATTTATTCTCAATGCATCAAGGGTCCGAAAGAAACAAACCTCTTTGTGTAGATACAGGGATTAGGTACATCTTGACCCAAGACCCAAACAGAGCCGAGATCATGTTGGGGTTGTTGTTTTCGATGTATTGCTGATTGCTTGTATTATTCTTTGTTGTAGTACTTCCATAGCATTTGATGTATTGATTCTAGTACTGCGACTGTTCCTTTGTGCAGTTTTTTCGTGTTCTCTTGAGGATGAATTTTCGCGTCCTTTTAGTGCTTCTACTCTTTTGTGTTGGAGGCATATTTTACATTGGTGCTAGCACCTCGCCAATCATCGTGTTCGTGTTCTCAGTTTGCATAATCAGTTCCGTCATGTCAATTTATCTTGCAAAATGGGTGCTTTTAAAGGATGAGGGGCCTCCCGAGATGTCTCAGGTTCCAATATTATGATATGTTCTTATCTTTTTGCTGCTGTTCTTCCCTTGTGTTCTGTTTGGTGTCACAAATAATAATATTATGTTATTCTGACTGAATGCCTTAGGAATAATTTCCATTTTAATCTTTGTCTGGATCATATTTATTCATAACCATGAAATACATTTGAAAACAGGGAAATATATTTTATGTTGACTTAAGCCTTTCCTCAATAGGTTATCAAATCTATACTTGCTATTTTAATTAGGAAAGCTGGCATACAATTTGAATCAACCTCCCATCCAATATAATGAAGTAGTGAAGTACCACAATGTTAATTAGCCCGTAGAATTAGTGGTGTTGAACTCATCCTCTAATATGCCAGATATCAGATGCAATACGTGATGGAGCTGAAGGCTTCTTTAGAACTCAGTATGGGACTATATCTAAAATGGCACTATTACTTGGACTGGTTATCCTAGGTATATATCTTTTCCGAACAACAACTCCTCAACAAGAAGCGTCTGGAATAGGCCGGTAAGTTGGACTTCAATTCTAAATAAAACTGTTTTGAATGTTTACTATGGTATATTGACACTCGGACCCTAATGCAGGTCAGCAACTGCATACATTACTGTTATTGCCTTCCTTTTTGGGGCTTTATGCTCCGGAATTGCTGGTTATGTTGGTATGTGGGTGTCTGTACGTGCAAATGTTCGTGTCTCTAGTGCAGCAAGGCGTTCAGCAAGAGAGGCTTTGCAGGTTTTTCCACTTCCAAATGTATCAACTCAATGACCATAATGTTTGTTGTAATTGATCTTTAATATCTAGGTAGCTGTTCGTGCTGGAGGTTTTTCAGCCTTGGTAGTTGTTGGTATGGCTGTAATGGGTGTTGCTATCCTTTATGCAATTCTTTATGTGTGGCTAGGGGTAGATTCACCTGGTGGAATGAAGGCAGTAGATTGTAAGTTAGCTTTAATTTTTTCTTTCTGTCCTATTAGTTTAGTACTTATCCTTTTTTAGACAATGTTAAATCTACTGTCATTTCCATGCTGAACTCTAAATATGTTGATGTGCAGTGCCTCTACTTCTTGTTGGGTATGGTTTTGGCGCTTCATTTGTTGCCCTTTTTGCTCAGCTTGGTGGTGGAATATATACAAAGGCTGCCGATGTTGGTGCTGACCTTGTTGGAAAAGTAGAACAGGGCATTCCTGAAGACGATCCTCGTAATCCTGCTGTTATTGCAGATTTGGTACAAGACTGTTTTTTTTCTTATTCTAGTATATTTTTGTTTAAGCATTGCTTTGTTGGGGTTTGCCAATTGTAGACCTTTACAGATGTGGGTCAGCCCGTCTCGCACAGCCCAGCCTGCCTGTAAAAAAGGATGGATAAGTATATTTATCCGTGTGAGCCGGCTCGACTAGGGAATTAGTTTAATACCAAGCCCAACCCTACTAGGCTACTACCACACATGCACAATCTTGCCCACAAGTCAATAATAATTAAGCTCGAGTTTGAATTAGACTAGACTCATTTTAAGTTTTGACCAAGCGGCTTGACTCATTTGTAAGCATAGTTTGAAATATAAATTCTAAATTTTATTGGCTTTAATGTCTGCCTTGGAAAAAGGCTTTTGTTTTATTATAAGGATATAAACTCAGATGTCTCGATAGCACTATAATGTACCGAGCATAGCAGTTCTCAAATGACCAATAATGAGGACACAAGCAAAGTTGATCAACTTGTTAAAGACGAGGTGAAGTTTACTTGTGAAAACAGAGAGTTATGAGGGATGTTTGGCATCGTGTCTCTGGGATAACTGGTGCTAGGTTTTGTGTCTGTCATAATGAGAAGAAGCCGGTGGAAATCCGCCGCTGGTGTTGACTGTTTCCATATAGCCGACACCAGATAACACAAACAGTTTGGTTTTGCGACAATTGCACAAAAATTGCTAAATTAATTAGAGTATAAGAAATGAAACTCCCCTTAATCTGTGCTCATTTGATACACTTTTGCAACAATGCTCGTGTCTTATACATATGCAATTTTGTTATATATTCATGATATTGAAGGTCGGAGACAATGTTGGTGATTGTGCTGCCAGGGGTGCTGATCTTTTTGAAAGTATTGCTGCAGAAATTATTAGTGCAATGATACTTGGTGGAACTATGGCCCATCGCTGCAAAATTGAAGGTGAGGAATTTATTGGTAAACAGGTTGTATCTCCACTCAGATTGCAACAATCAAATCTAATTGCTGGTTTAGCTGATGAATTACATATTTGCTTTCTTGAATTGATTTTTCAGCTCATCCATCTGTTATACATTCAACTCCGATTAGGGTTTTTTAAATTTTCCAGTGAACTGTAAATCCAACATGGTAATGTATAATACAATAATGTAACCTTTGTAGCAAAAAAATTGTGCATCCCTGCTATGTAGAGATAAGACCCTGATGTGAATGTGGGTATAGTGGAGATAAATAACTTTCATCTTTTGAGAGCGTAAATGTTATTGAGGTGGATTGATGATTAACATGTTTAACGCTTTTGTTGGCCCAAACCATGCCAACCCAACAATTCCATCGGTTCCATTTTCTCCTTTTTTATAAATTAATGGTTTTTTTAAATCTTGTGATTATATTTTGTTAGCTGTTCGTTATTATTTTAGTCTTGAATCTGCTGTTGCAATAGTAACTTATCCAATATTCTCTGTCAACCTTGGCATGCAGATCCTTCTGGATTCATCTTATTTCCTCTTGTCGTTCATTCATTTGATCTGATTATTTCATCTGTTGGTATACTCTCTATTCGGAACAGACGCGAGTCTAAT